CCCCCGGTGTGATTTAAAGCCACTGGGTCCAGTACTCAAACCATGGTCGACTACATGGGAGTCCAGCGACACAGCCATTACGCTAACTGCTGGTCCCTGCCTTGCATCCTTTTAAAGTCTAAACTTCAATTGAGTTTAGTATACTTCCAGAGTTGTGGACCTATTAACATAGTCTGAGAACATTTTCAGCACCTTGAACAGAAACTTCACACCCACTAGGTCACAAACAGCAGACTCTAACCCAGCCTGAGTTGACCACTAAGCTATTTTCATGATAGATTTCCCTATTCCAGACCTTTCACACAAATGGCATGACAGAATATATAGTCTTTTTGACTTGTTGCATTCACTGAGCATACTACTTTTTTTTTTTTTTTTTTTTTTTGGAGAGGTTTTCGCTATAGGGCACGTGCACTCACCAGACAGACAGAGAGAGATAGACAGAAAGTGAGAAATCACCCCCCAGGGGGGACGCAAACAACGGTCGACTACGTGGGAGTCCAGCAGCATAGCCATTACGCTAACTGCTGGTTCTGAGCATACTATTTTTTAAGTTTCATTCATGTTATAACATGTTATCAGTACTTCTTTCTTTTTTTAAGCTTATTTTATAGAGAGCACATGAATAAGTAAGGAGAGAGAGAGAAGCATCCATGACAGACAGAGTCTCCTCATGGTGTGATCCTCTTCCCCCAGCCCTTTAGTTCATCAGGATCTTGGGTGCTTGTATGTACCTAATGTGTTTTTGATTGGCTGGACCTGGGAAATAAATCTGAGGTTGGCCACGTGGCTTCCAAAACTGCAGTTCAGTATACTACCACCTGTCACCAATTTTCTGTTTTTACTGAATAATGTTCCATCATATTACTTATAGACTCATCATTCATAAAGGTTGCTTCCACCTTTAGGCTACTATGAATAATCCTGCCATGAACATTTGTTTTTAAGTCTTCATGTGGACAAATGTTTTCAATTCTCTTGGCTAGGTTGCTGGATCATATGGTAATTCTACATTTAGCATGTTGAGAAACTTTTCCAAAGCTGTTGCATTCCCACCAGCAATGTATGTGAGTTACAATTTCCCACATCCTCACTAAAACTTATTAATCTGAATTTTATTGCAGCTATCCTAATGGATGAAAAGTGGTTTTGATTTGTGCTTCCTAATGACTAATGATGTTGATTTACTTTGCATGAGCTCATTGTCCATTTGTCTATCTTTGGAGAATGGTTGGTTCAAATACTTGAGACATTTATGAATTAGGTTGCCCTTTTATTGTAATGTTATACAAATTCTCTATTTTTGGATAAAATTCCTTTATTAGATGGCCGACAAACAGTTTTTTTTTCCCAGTTTGAATTATATTTTCACTTTCTTGCTAGCATGTTTGAAATGGAATTTTTTTAAAAGCTTTAAGGAAATCAGGTTATTTGTTTTTTTCTTTATGGCTTATGCTTTTTTTTTTTTTTTGAGAGAGATTTTTGCGATAGGGCACATAACGTTTGCTGGAGAGATAGAGAGCGATAGAGAGACAGAAAGCAAGAAATCACCCTCCAGGGTAGATGGCCATGCCACAATCCCTTCTCCTCCATTCTCCTCTCGGGATCTTGGGCACACATGCACACGTGCCCAGCATGAGTTTTAAGCCACTGGGTCTAGGACTTGAATTTTGGTCAACTATGTGGGAGTCCAGTAACTTAACTATTATGCCATATGCTGGTCCTGGCTCATGCTTTTTAAAAAATTTTATTTATTTTTTTATTGAGGGGTTTTCGCTATAGGGTGCGTGCGCTCGCCAGACAGACAGAGAGAGACAGAGAGACAGAAAGCGAGAAATCACCCCCCAGGGGGGATTGGTCACGCTGCAATCCCTTCTCCTCCATTCTCCTCTCGGGATCTTGGGCACACATGCACACGTGCCCAGCATGAGTTTTAAGCCACCGGGTCTGGGACGTGAACCGTTGTCGACTACGTGGGAGTCCAGCGACATAGCCATTATGCTAACTGCTGGTCCCTGGCTCATGCTTTTTTAATAAAAATTTCCCAACACAAGGTCATTAACATTTTCAATTTTTTAAATTTTTAAACTGTATAAGTATATATTTAAAATTATTATCATATAAAATAAGGTTCAGATATTTTTATTTTTAACAAATATATTTA